CTAAATCAAGGTTTCAGGTATCAGGTATTTGCCAGCCAATTTCTGGATAGGTTCTGTCCACGTTCAAATTTTATCCATTCTTTTTTACTTTTCATTTTCCACTTTCAAAATAATAACAGCAGCCTTGGGGAGGATGCAATAGGGAGATAAAAATGTCAGATCCAGTCTAATTATCTGGCTGACTGTGTGACCAACCATAAGAATAGAGATACTATAAAGGTATGAGCTGAAAACCAATTAGATATATTACAGTAGAAATTCAGCTCCTTGATCATTTCCCAGGTTTTCCAAATTACGTTGATTTTATTGGAATCTACTTGCCTATCCATCTATCTCTGTTGCTCTTTTCAATAAGAATATTTAAATATCTTACATACATTACCCTCCGGATAGTGGCTTGCCTCCAGAAAGTCAGCCTTACATACTTCCGTGTTGGTAAACCTTATTTGGATCCATTTTTATTATTAATTCAGAGACATCAATTTTCAGACAAGCATAACATAGTTAGTTAGTACTCTATATTAGTAAGTACCCAGACACAGTACTGCACCTTAAAGAGGAGCTTGTGATGATCATTGAGTTGATAAGACAGTAAAACCAAGTATGCATTTATGTGGAGCACCCACAACTCCTTTAGGATAAAACATTGGTTGCATTTTCCCCCCAGTGTTTCAGCTCCAACCACTGAGCAAAGGAAAATGGTACAATGAAAAGAGGCGAGAAAGAAGGAAAGAAAAAACTTGATGCTGAACACTCACAGGGTTTGGGTGTCTTCTCTTCCGTCTGCCCCGGGCCCCCGGCTGTGTCCTCACTAATATTTTGCTCTGAACCAGAGTCAGAGGAACCTAAATGATTTGGAAAGCACAGATGGGGATTTACAGTCATAGGCAGAAGTGCCATTGGGACTGGTACAGCCGAGCATCCACAGAATCAGAATCAGAAACCAAGACAGTTGTGAAATGTGAAAAAAGGAGAGATAGGCAAGAGGCATCCATTCAGAAAAAGAGAATTTAAGAGGAAGAGAAAATTAAAGCATACTCCAGGATAAGCAAGAAAAAACTGAAAGAAGAAGAAGAAAGATATACATGGAGGGATATATAGGTTTAAGATGGTTGGGAAGACTACTGGCATGGCTATCGTTGAAATCCATTGGTTATTAGAAACTCAGCATCTGCCAATACTTCTTGCTGGACAACTGGCTTCTGTAGCTCCCTGCCTTTTGTATCCTGTATCTTGCACTGAATGTATGGAGGACAGGTGTGCCTTGAACCTTCATATGCAGGATCTGGATAATTAGCTCTGAAGCATGTAATGAATCTGTCAGCCACAGAATTGGTATAGTGATCTCAACAGAATCCACGTTTCTGTTAGTGATTCCTTGTAGCAGATAAAAAACAATACTTTACCATATAATAATGTTTGGATCGAATCAGACGATTGTGTGCCAGTTTTTCCACCAAGTGATAGGTTTAGAGGAAGTAGGAGAGCATACACCATTTCTGACAAATGGCAGTCCAATCACTTCTTGAAAACCTCCCATGATGAAGCTCCCACAATTTCCGAAGGCAAGCTGTTCT